CGAGTAAAATAGAAGAGAGAATAAAGTTCAGTGAAGAACAATATAATTTATCCTTTAGATAATTAAAATGGTTACATATAATAATTTATGCACTTAATTTAACCAAAAAATAGTTTAAATACTAAAACAAAAAAGTATCATAGTTTGAGTACCTTCTTTCAGTTTAAGCCTTTTTAAAAAACTAAATAAAACTTACTTCATGTAGGGTCAATTTGTTCGAAAAAGAAATAATGTTGCCGACTAGGCATACGTTATATCTGTCATCTCTTTCCCCCAACCTTATCTTCAGTATAATTTCCTCATCGTAAACCGTTTTCTTATTTTGGAAAAACTACACAATAAATCACTTTAATTTGATTTCTTCCTTTTTAATCACTAAAGTTCAATTTAAACGTTAATATTTATTTGTTAATAAAATGATTAATTGTTATTTCCATACCTCAACTTTCTAAGATCTATCAATTAAATCACTAAAACACCCGATACCACCGCAATCCTTGATCCCACTGCCTCCACTTCTCCGATCACCTTCTCCGGCCAGAAACAAAATCAGTGAATCCCCTTAAAAACCATCCATCTTCAACTCTTAAAATTCACACACACAAAAATACCCATGGATCAAAATTCCAAAATTCTCAGTACAAAACCCAAAAATCTCGCTGGAAAATTGAAGGGATTCAAATAGAAAATATGTTTCTCTTAGCAGAAACATCACAATTCATACCCTAAATTTACACGACCAAATCCCCAAAAAGTAGCCAGTAAAGAAAACAACAAAAGTACAAATGATCCGAAACGATCATCGATTCTCCAAAGAAAAAAAAACTCGAAAATCTGAAATCGGTCGATTTCAAGGAAGAAACCCAACTAAGGGAATCGGAGAAGAAAAAGATCGGCTAGTCGTCACCACCGCCGGCGATTCGTTTTGATGAATAACTACGCCGATTGCTTCAGCCACCGTCATGACAAATTCGACGGCCAAATTCATCAACTCCACGCAGATCTCCAATCTTTGAAGCACCATTTTTGCAAAAGCTCTTCAGAAAGTACTTTTTTTTAGCCTTAATCTATCTATTCTCTTTAAGAGGGCTCTATTTAATACGTAGCAAAGTTGTAACATTGTCAAGTATTTTATTTAAAAAAATATTCATGTATTACTTTTTCTTATAATATTATATCGGGTAAGTTATGCATTTAGTACCTAACGTATTAGTTTTGATTCATTTTAGTATTTAAACTTTTAATTTTTTCAAAACTATACTTAAAGTTTAGTTTTGTTTCATTTTAGTATCACGTTCAAAATTTAACGTTAAATTTTGAAAACATTAGAAGTTTAGGCACTAAAATAGATCAAAACAGATAATTTAGATACTAAACACATTAATTTTTTAACGATAGGATACTAAAATAAAATGAAAACTTAATGTTAAATATAATTTTTAAAAAAATTAAAAATTTAGGTACTAAAACAAACTAAAAATATAGTTAAATGCTAAATATGTGGTTTACCCTATTATATTTTTAGTAAAGTACACTAAAGTATATTAGAACTCGTTGAATATTATTAAATAATATTTTGATCATCAAACTTTTAAAATTTATAAAATAAATATTAAATTTATTAAATTATTATAAAATTATACTTGTAGCGATATAATAATTATAAAATTTTGATACATTTAATGTTTATTTTATATTTTAAGATTTTAATAATTAAAATAATCATTTAAATATTATTCAATAATTTTTAATGACGTTTATCTTATATCTTTTATATAATATTTTATTTTTGTAAAATATATTATATCTGTAACATTATTGGGTGGTAGGAAACATAGATGAAAACGATCGCTTATTCTATATAAATATAACCTTTTGAAACAACCAAGGGTCGTCTTTGCCTTTTATTTTTCTTGAAAATAAGGATAAATTTACATTTTGGTAATTGAACTTAGTTCTAAAGTCCAATTTGGTACCTTAAGCTTTTCTTGGTTTAATTAGGTATCCAAGTTTTGACTTTGAAATTTAATTTGATATCTATTTTTCTTTGTTCAATTAACTATTTAAATTTATCTTTTTTGTTCAAATTAATACTTTAATCTAACTTTTTTTTATCAAATTATAAAATTTTAAAACCGTAAAAATACAATATATATATATATATTATAAAAATTTGAAAATTTTATATTTACAATCATCTCTTAACACCTCTCGATCCATCTCTACTTGTAAAATATAATAATAACAATTGGGGGTTCTATTTTTCTTTATTCACAAAATTTCCCATGCAAAATTTTAAAATTTATTTGAGGATAAGAATGAGGATTTATTATGCCTCTAATTAGGTCATTTAGTATGTGATTACAAAGGAATCTTCATCATTGATTTGGTATTACATGAGGATGAGTTCAAATTTCAAAACAAGTAGAGATTAAATATGACTTAGAGATGAGAACAAGTAGGGTTGAGTTGGGGTTTTTGATCAGTCTAATTTGACTCGAAAAATATATATCATCTATTCGAATTTGATCCGACCAAAAAATTATATATTATCCACCCGATCCGACTCGACCTGAAAAATATATATCTTTCACCCGACTTCGACTCTACTAAAATGTTTAGATTATTAATTTGACCCGATCCGATCATGTATAAAATAAGGGCATAATAATAATTTTTTTAAAAATTTACATTATTATTTCTGGGTCGGATAATCGGAGTTTTTTTTTTCACCCTCCACCTAAACCTGACTTCACTCCCTTAAAAAATCTGATCCATCTCGATCCCAACCTAATATTTTTATTAAAAAAACTGGCCTTATTTTTTATGTTTGTTGGAATAATATTTTAATTTTAACTTTTAAATATTTTATTTTTAAAAGTTTTAATTTTGATAAAAATGAATCTTTTTAGATAAAAAAATGTTAATTGATAAGTAATTAATATTTATTATTGATGTGATATTTTTATATATATTTAATTGGTAATATAGATATATCATGTCAATAAAATGGTGATATAATACGTCATTAATTAAGCACTTAAAATATAACATCAAATATAAATACAGATAACTAATCAACTAATAATTTTTATTCGAAAGAGTGTTATTTTGATCCAAAAAAGCACTTAGGACTAAAATGATTAAAAAATAAAATTATTATGTCAAATATTGAGAACGAATTTTGATATTATTTATTTTTATAATATCAATTATTATTTTTATTTAAGAAGGTAGGAAAAATAAAATTTTCACTTATCAAACTCAACATATAAGGTTAATTACTTAATTAAGACTTTATTTTACTAAACATATTTTATCCCTATACCACGTTTGATTAATATTAAAGACAAATAATTAAATATATATAAAAAAAAAGTAAGCAGCACATCGTTGTAATTGAGTAAAGTATACTAATAGTCCCTAAACTATGATGTTATAATGTTTTAGTCATTAAACTTTTAAAAGTTATAAATGATCATTGAATTTAGGATAAACTACTCAAATGACCACTTAACTATGAGATTAGTGTCGATATGACCACCTATTTTCAATTTTGTCAACATGATCACTTAACTATTTAAGTGGTTTCAATTCGGGGGCGGAATTACACAGGGTTAAAATATTTTTTTTAATTTTTTAATTGAGGGAACCTGCTAAATTTTTATTTATTTTTCAAATATATATATTAATAATTAAAAAATTATTAACGGGGTCAAGCCAAGACTCCCCTTGACCCCCTGAACTTCCATCATTGTTTCAATCAAACCACTTGTCTTTAATATTTAACGGAAGTGATGATGTGGCAATTAAAAAATTTTATATTCATATATTTGATCCTCAATACTTATACATTCAATCAAATTGGTCCTAATTTTAATTTTATTTAATAAATTAACCCTTTCAATCAGACGGTAACACGTGTCAACATATGACCATGATATATATCACATTTTACACGTATCAACACTTAATTAGTGGTTTTTTTTATTAATTTTAATTTATTTAATTAAATTTATTTTTATCTAATTAAATGATATTATATGTCACCATCTAATTAGATTAAAAACAAATAGGAAATAAAATGCATTTGTGGATGATTAAACCTAGATTCTCCAACTAGTTCATTAATTACACTTACAATAAACTCTATTTATCTTATAATATTATTAAGGGTAAATTATACTGGTAGTCCCCCTATGTTTTCGGTCTGACCGGCTTTGGTCACAGAAAAAAATTAAGGAGAAATGGTCACTAGCGCCATCGGTCTGTTCGAATTAAGTCCCTAACGTTATCGATCCATCTGATTTCAGTCTCTAATGTTATCAGTCCGTTCGATTTTAGTCCATCAGCTATATTAGTGACTTCAACAAAAGGGATTTAAAATAAAAGGGGTTAAACAAAACTAATAGCATATGGACTTAAACCGGACGAACCCATAACATAAGGTACCATTTTTCCTTAAAAAATAACAAAAGGGGCTATCGAAATAGTTTACCCTATTATTAATGATATAAAAATAAAGAAATAAAATCATTCAAATGAAGTTCCAAACCTAGACTAATTATAAAATATAATAGAACCTAAACTAGTTAAACAAATATAATATCACTTTATAATTATATATATTATATATATATTACCGTATTTAATGCAAGGTTTAAAAATACAAATAAATTTAATACATGTTCAGGTTCGACATAAAAGGTTCATTTCATGAACTGTGTAAAGTTATACAACAAGCTTACAAGAAATGGAGAAAAAGACAACGCCAACGCTTCATTACATGTTACAAGACAAGAAACAGTACATAAACTGCACTTCAAAGAGGCAAAGAACATAAGTAATTCAGTTTTCGAAACGACGATACCGGTGAAATGCCGGATTCCGGCACTTCAAATAGCCTCTCCCGTCGTTTCTCCCCGGAAGGATCGAAGGGTAAAACTTCGATGAATGTTGGATGATGATCACCCTTCTCTGCACATGTGCATGGGCTATAATCACAATGCATATATTATCTCTCCGCTACTATCGATGTCAAGCTCGGGATCGCTGTCGAGGTCCTCCTCCATATCGTCGTCGATGTCCAGGCTACCGTTCAGATACTGATTGAGACTATTTGTATTGGCTGAAGGGATAGTGGCTTCGGAAATGATCTGCATGATCTCGTCGACACTTTGCATCGGTTGATCAGGTTCTTCGAACTGGTTGTTCATCCTGTTCTCGTCCATGAGGTCTGCCGGTAGGTTCTTTAGAAACCACTCGTGGTTCCGAATTTCGGGAATCGATATCCTCTGTTACAAATAAAAATCGAAATTTTCAAGGAACATAGAAGAAATGAGGGCAAGAATATTAACTTGGGTCTCGAGAAAGAGAGAACTAACCTTCGCAGGGTCAGCCACAAAGATTCTCGAGATCAGATGACGGCACTCGGGCGATATATGAACGTAGTCAGGGATCGAGTACTGGACATTTAAAATTCGCTGCAAGAACAGATCGATTTACGTCAGTCCACATTTTAAAAGTAGTTGCCACTGAGTTTATCAAAAGAGGACTGCATTTACATGAATTGTTTTGTGGAAGTTCTTAGGATCCTCGGGGTCTTCGAACGGATACGCTCCGACCAACATAACGTATAAGGTTACACCACAAGACCAGACATCTGCAATCTGACATATTTCATCGGAAAAGAAGATTTCAGCATATACATTACGAAGAAAGCGAAACATGTGCTGAAGGTGAATGTATTATCCTTGCTCTTGTACTACTGCAACATATCATAGTACTTCATCGAAGCATTTCGAGAAGCCGGTCATAAAAACCTTATGCAGGACAAACATCGGGTGACATAGCGATCATAAAAACCTTACGCAGAGTAAAAACGGGTATCATAAAGATCATAAAACCTTATGCAGAGCAATATAATCTGCTTAGTTAGATGGAACTTGCACTACCACAGGTATACGGAAGTTTAATCGGGAAAAATAAGAGGCGATATTACCTTTCCATCATATTCTTTCTTCAGTAACACTTCAGGAGCTATATAAGCAGGAGTTCCAACGGTTGATTTCGGTTGCGAATGCAACACTGAAGACTGGAAAAAGTATTCAATGTCAACATAAACGTAGATGGAAAATCAAGACGATGACGTTGCATGCTTTGCAAACACCCTTCGATGCACTAAACAAATAATATTTGTTACCGAACCGAACAGTAAGATTCAAACTCTACCATGACACAAGCATATCTTATACCTTGGAATACCCGAAGTCGCAAATCTTCAAGCGAGGAGCTGGACTCCCATCGAGTAATGTGTTCTCCAGTTTCAAGTCTCGATGGCATACTTGCTGCAGATAGAAAATCAGCAAAAGGGGGATCTCAGCTGAGTCACAACATGAATTATCTTTCATATTAGTAAAGGGAACAAATCAAACGTAACTCACCATTGCATGACAGTAACTCACTCCCGATATAAGCTGTTGAAAGAAGAAGCGTGCCTGAAAACATACCGAGATGCATAAAAGAAAATTCGAGATCACTAACACTAAAGGAACAAAGATGGGGTGGATCTGGTAGTAACCTCATCCTCACTGAACCGGCCAGCGTTACATATCCGCTCGAAAAGCTCTCCCCCGGATGCATATTCCATTACAATGGCCAGATGTGTCGGTGTTAATATTACCTATACCACATCACAGTTTTCAGCTTTCACTAGTCAAAAAGCTTTCTAGAGGATGGCAAAAGGTAGTAAACATTTAACAATGGAAACAAACCTCTTTGAACCTGACGATATTCGGATGCCTTAGCGACCTGTGGTTGATGATTTCCCTTTGAACGTTTTCGTCTATCTGTTGCACACAACTCAAGAAGAGGGAAAAACACAAAGTCAAACTGATAAATTCTTCATACACACACTTTGCAGCTTCATAATTAAACATGATAACAATAATCAATCAGAAATCACAGAGTTCGATACATGCCGTCAAATTGATAAATTCTTCATAGACTCACTTTGCAAGTTCATAATTAAACATGATAACGATAATCAACTAGAACTCATCGAGTTCGATACATGCCGTCAAACTGATAAGTTCTTCATATGCACACTTTGCAACTTCATAATTAAGCATGATAACGATAATCAGCATCGAGGTTGATACATGCCGTCCCAAATGAATTTCTAAATCCAATACCATTTATGTAACAAAATGTAAACTATGAATCAAGGGACTGAAATTTGCAGCAACAAATTGAACTTCATTAAAGACAGAGTCAAAGACCAGAGTTAGCAATAAAATCAAAGATCACCGAATTGTTCACCAAATTACAATCCACTCAAGCTCAATCATCAAATGCATAAACATGAAAAGGAAATTGAAATTTGCAGCTACAAAATTGAACTTCGTTGAAGACAAACTCAAAGACCAGAATTAGCAATCAGCTCAAAGATCACCAAATTGCAATCCATTCAAGCTGAACCACCAAATCCATAAACATGAAAAAGAAAATGAAATTTGCAGCTACAAAATTGAAATTCATTAAAGAAATTCAAAGACCAGAATTAGCAATAAACTCAAAGGTCACAGAATTCTTCACCAAATTACAATCCATTCAAGCTCAAGTGCTCAACCACCAAATCCATAAACATGAAAAGATACTGAAATTTGCAGCTACGAATTGAACTTCATTAAAGACAAGCTAAAAGACCAGAATCAGCAATATACTAAAAGATTACAGAATTCTTCACCAAATTACTAACCATTCAAGCTAAACCATCAAATCCATAGACAAGAAAAGAAAACCCAGTAAAAAAATCACTGAAATTTTAGAGGAAAGTAACCTTGTCACCTCTCTCGATGTACTTAACTGCAACGAGCTCATCAGTCTGCTTGTCTCTCATCAGGCGAGCCACCCCAAAGTTCCCAGAACCGATATCCTTAACCAGCTCATAACGATCGCTGTCATGCATGATCGGCATATCCATCCCTGGTCCCACTGTTACTGCTTCTCGATTCATTTCTCTTTACTCAAAACAAAGCTTAAACTACAACAAAAAAAAAGACAAAAAAAAAAGAGCTTTCACAGTATCATATCGTGGTTTCAGAGGAAACCCAGTTTGAGATCGAGCTAGGCGGTGATGTCGATGGAGGGTAACGTGGCAGAACAACAACCGTTTGATGAGTTTCCTTTTTAAAATAAAAAAAATGACCTTTGGTTGTGTTTTGGTTGGTGATGAAATGGGATTTTGTCCGTGAAATTTACCCACTTGAACTGATCTCAGAAAGGAAGAAACACATGTGGGAGCTCGTGAAATATGCGGCTTTTCTTCTCCCTTATATTGTGAATCCCAGACTTTACTTTCTTTTTTATAAAAAAGCTATAATCCTCTCTCTCTCTCTCTCTCTCTCTCTCTCTCTCTCTCTAAAGAAAAGTACAGACTTTTTAAAGGGCTGGGTTCTCCTGGTAATCCAGAAACTGAGATCAAGTGTGATAGCGGGGAATCCTCAGTGGAAGGAAAGTTTCATGGACGATGATTGGTCTATGAATTCAGTGAAAAAGAAAGAGTAAACTATGCATTTAGAACATAAACTATCATTTTTTATTTATTTTCGTACTTAAATTTTTAATTTTTTCAAAACCACACTTAAAGTTGTTTTATTTTAGTATCTGTTCAAAATTAATATTAAGTTTTGAAAAAAATTAAAAGTTTAAATATTAAAATTGACCAAAATTGATAGTTTATATACTAAATACGTACAGTTTTAACGATGAGATATTAAAATAAAACAAAATTAAATGTTAAATATAATTTTAAAAAAACTGAAAGTTTAAATACTAAAATAGATCGAAATTAATAGTTTAATTACTAAATACATAATTTAAAAAAAGCCGTAAAGTATAAGGAAATGACATCAATATCCCCGGTTCTTTTAAGTACAGGACGATTAAAATTTTCCTTTTATCTATAATTTTTCGAGTTTGATAATCAATATACAAATATTCTCTTAATTATAGAGTATTTTGATCGTACATTATTGTTTTGTTGAGTATTTCGACTATTAAAAGTTATAGAATGATTATTTGATTATTTATATGGTTTAAACTCGTTTTTTTCTATTAAAAATTGATGGTATTTTGAATTGGACATTAACTATTAAATGAGATATTATAAAATTTAATCACAAAATCTCAAACTACTATTACATCTCAGTCAACATATTAACGTCCAACTTAGACAATATATACTCAAAGATAACTCTCAACCTTTTGACATTAAACGCTTACACCTCTGACATCTATAATACTCAAACTCGGATCCTCAGGAATTATAACAATTCAATTAACACATAGGACTCTTGATTCGTGCTCGTCTAATCTCTTTTTCTTATAGAGTTGGATATGAATTTTACTTCAAAACTCCTTTTTTTAATACTAATTCCTTTTGTTTGTTCCCTTGATAAATTGATCATAAAATTTTGAGTACTAATTTAAAAAAGAATTCAGATACAAATGTGAACTAAGCAACGTAACTTAGCTACTTAATTGGGCAAAAAGAAGTTAAATACTAAATTGAAAATTGAAATTAAATTGAAGTACTAAAATGACCTTATCTTTTTCTTTAATATATTTGTTGGCGTAAATGACTCATTTTTTTTCATTAATACTAACAGAAAAATACATAGAAAAATTTAATTGGCTGAATAAAATATAAATATGAATTCGAAACATTTTCAATTGTATATGAAAATTGTATATTACATTTAAAAAAAATAACATACAAATGTTAATATTATCAATAATTTAATTTTAAAAAATTAAAATTTAATTATGATATTATGAATGAATTAAACTTGAGTAAAAGTTTTTATTTAGGTGGATTATAAGTCGTGATATATATTCTAAAGACTCTCAATCATTTTACAATGAACACTAAAATAACATATAGCCGTTAATACTTGAACTCTTGACCCTACGGATAAAAATCATTCATTTAACCACTGAATTAAATTGATTGTACTGAAATTCGTATTTTTATTTAAACATAGTTTAGCAATCTGTAATGTAATTTATCCAATTTCTGCCCTGATAATGACAAGGAGATAATCTCAACGAGAATTTAGTAACTCTCTTCAAAAAGGTGAACTAGGCATTCAGTAGTTAAAGCATCAGTTCAATCCGCTTTAGTATTTAAATTTTTAATTTTTTTTAAATTATATTTAATATTTAGTTTTCATTTCATTTTAATATCATGTTGTTAAAAACTTAACGCGTTTAGTACATAAACTATAAGTTTTAGTCCGTTTTAATATTTAAACTTTACTTTTTTTCAAAGTTTAACACTAAATTTTAAATGAGATATTAAAATGAAATAAAAATAAATTTTTAACAGTGAATACTAAAATGAAACAAAAACTAAATTTTCGATATAATTTAACAAAAAAAAATATGTACTAAGATAAATCAAAACTAATAATTGATGTATTAATTACCCCGTGCAAATAAGTAAATGGAAAGGAGGAAAGAAGAGAAAAGAGGGGAAGTTAGTTAAAGAGGTGGCAAACTCCAAACCTTAAAACAAAACATTCAAACCCCAAAAGCAACGGTTACGTGTAAGAGCATCTCTTCCCTCTCTGCTCTGTCTCTCCGGCCGCCAAATGTGGTTTCAAAGCAATCAGTTAGCTAAACTTCAGGAGAAAAAAAGAACAGAGCAAATCTTAAAGTTTCCAAAAACACACATCAAACAAATGAAACACATTGAGGAAAACAACAGGGGGAACAGAAGATCACACTGGGTTGTTTTTTGGTTTTTGTTTTTGTAAGAGAGAGAGTTTAACAAAAATGGCGCATGCCCAACCTGAGGAGAAGCCTAAAGAAGAGCCCCACGACAGGTTTCAGATGAAAGATCATCAAGCCATTTCAATGGCTTCTGCAAAGCCAACGACTAGTCATAATAACCCCATTCCCATGGCTGCCGCTGCAAAACAGGCGATCAGTTGTGGTAGTGGGAGTGGTACCAGTGGGAGTAGCAACGGCAACGGGAACGGAAACGGTGTGACGTTCAAGTTCAACGCGCATGCGCCCGAGTTCGTGCCGAAATCGCATACCCAAATGCCGATCTCCGGTTATTATTACCCTTGTTTCCATTACCTCGGTGGTGTTGCAGCTGCAGCCTCCGATTGGTTCTTTCTTTGTGAACAAGAAACTTCTAATTATTTGAACTCTAACCCTAATCTCTCAGTCCCCAATTGTTCTTCCAAGAACGTTCTAACTGACGATCTACGTCAAAAGATCATCAAACAGGTAATCTATCTTGGGTTTCTTTTCTTTTTGCGTACTTTATTTAATAAATTTTAACTTTTTGATGTTTAACAATGACTCACATGTCACATGTGTTTTTTGTACAATCATGGTGTGAAAATAGTGTGATCTGATCCTGATTGTGTGTATGAAACAGGTGGAATACCAGTTCAGCGACATGAGTCTGATCGCGAACGAGTCGTTGTCGAAGCAAATAAGTAAAGATCCTGAAGGCTTTGGTAAGAAAACTTATGAATCCATCATCCATTCCATGAGTTAGTTTCGATCGAGTCGAATTAGTTGTTGAGTCTGTTATATAGTTCGGTACGTAATTCGATCTTCACTCATGAGTATCGGCCTTGCTTTAGTGCCTATATCTTTTATTGCTTCAACAAAGAAAATCAAGTCCCTCATCACCAACCACCAGTTACTGGCCCAAGCACTTCGTTCCTCTTTAAAGCTCGTAAGTTCTTTTAGTTCCATTGTTCTTGTTCAGCTGCAAAAGTAAAACTAATCTGCAGCATCATCTTCATTTTGGGGAATTTTTTTTCTTTCGGAATGAGATCTTTGTTCTTTTGATGTGCTTGGGAAGGTTGTGAGTGATGATGGCAAGAAGGTTCGTCGAAAACACCCGTTCACCGAGAAAGAACGAAAGCAAGTGCAGGTAGTATGTAGGAATTTCCTTAAGATTCGGCCGCTTCTCTGTATGCTGCAGATTGCAATCTACCTTTTCGCTTGTTTTGCAGTCTCGCACTGTTGTCGTAGAGAATTTGCCTGAAGATCACTCTCATCAGAACCTTGACAAAATCTTTAATGTTGTCGGGAGGTTTGGTTTTCATCGCATTCAGTTTCGGTTTCGGTTCCTAGTTTGTTGTCATATGCATAGAAGGGTCCTTTTGCAGCTGATTGTTAGTGTTTATATACAGTGTGAAGAACATCCGAATATGTCATCCCCAAGAATCCAATTCTTCCCGATCGAAGAACGAGTATTTCATGTCGAACAAAGTATGCAAGTTGGAATCAAACTTGTTTTCTTAGCTAAGCCAAGAGATTATTACACAATCTGCCTCATGGTTCCTTTTTTTTCTGTTACTTGTTCATCAAGTTACACGCACTTGTGGAATACGAGTTGACAAGGATTGCCGAGAAGGCGGTATGTTAATGCAGTTTTACTGCTACAAGCCTACAACTTCTTGTGATTCAATTGTTTCAGTCCTTCAAATTCCTCTTCTGCAATGCCATTCAAAGCTTACGTATTCGACGCAGGTTGAGAAGCTAAACGATGAAAGGAATTGGAGAAAGGGTCTCCGAGTAAGGATGCTGCTTAGTCTCTCGGTATGTAGCGTCTTCTGCAATTCACACCTGATCTGTTTGCATGCTTCTGTTTTAATAGAAACCATTTACAACATAAATGCAGCCTAATTCCATTCTGAAAACGAGAAAATCAGAATTCGATGGCATATTAGACGATGACGATTCACCGCATGCTGAATACTCTGACGGTTCTTCTCCACCAAACAATGCTGAATTATTCGAGCCCAATGTAAGCATCCATGTTCATTATACGGTTCCTTGAGTCACAAGCTAACCCAAAAAATCCCTGTCATGTTAGGCTGAAGATAGTGCAATGGGATCAAAAAAGGGATGGTCTAAGTCGCTCGGGAAACTTCGGGGTTGCGCCCAAAGCCTCACCGGACGCGGCCTGCTTCCCGGATCTCCTCAACCCAGCAATGCAGTCCAATGTGAAGCATCGGTGAAACATATGTTGAAGGGCCCGAGAATGCCGGACGGAACCCGGGGTTTCACCATGGGACGAGGCAACCCGTTGTGTTCACCATTGGAGTGATGATGGAATAACTCTCTGCCTATCTTATATTAACCAACTACTACTGAAAATAGCTCTGCGTTTTCCTGGAAGCAGCAAGAAAATGATCAAATAGTTATGCATAGTTCAGTACTGCTTCATAACTATTTGATGGCGATTTCCTTCTGGCACACCATTTTTTTCTGGATTTTTGTTGAGTATTGCTATGGATTCATCAGCTTTTTCTGCTCTGAATCTTGTGATGTATCCGAATAATCCGATCGAATCGTTACATCTGTTTCTTTCATTGTCAAACTCTGTATGCATGCATGCTTGTATGTCCAAGATTTATTTCCCATACACTAATTTGTTCCTAAAAGTTCATAAAGCCCAATAGTGATAACAAAAATGCTCGATCAGCTACTAAACCATTGATCCAAATGGCTCAGAAGGCTCTGCTTCTGAGATACTTGGTCATAAAATACTCAAGCACGGTTCGAGAAACGAAAACCGAGACATGGGGCTGAGGCAAAATGATGTTAAAAATGCCTCACCATGTTTCTTCAGGAACTTTTATCCGGAGAACGAAACGTCGGACAAGTTTATACAGCAGCACCTGGCTTTCCGGGAACGTAGCCGGTTGGAGACGTGACTGCCACGGTAAATGGTACAAGGATGAAAACGTAAGCTTCTTCATATATAGTGTAAAGTGTAAGCATGCTGCCAATTGCTTCTACATCTTGTAATCCATGGTTTCAGCATCATAATCACCATCATTTTTTTATATAACTTGCGTGCGGGTTGAATTTAACCCGATGAAGAAGACCCGAAGATCCGGATATAGGCATCGGTCCACTACTCGTCGACTTGGGAAGAAAGTAGAGTGCTTATTTTGCTACAAGAGCTGATATTGCCTCCATGGATCAGTAGGAACAATGTACTGGGGATAAGCCATGCACTTGTGTGATGGATCTACTCCCAATGGTACATTGTATATCACTATTGACTTTGGCAGCCTGGATTTCACTTGGGACCAGGCAATTACTCTTTGGGATCTTCATTTATTAATTATAATAACATCACTAATATCTTCGTATAACTTTGTCAATTGTAAGATCATTTATTATGGAACTCATCAAGTGATCTCAGTAGTTAAATGGAATGTTATTCTTCCTAAAGGTCTTGCGTCTAAACATCTACGCCCGCAAGTGTGTGTGGGTCGTACTAGATTATTAAAAAAATCACTTATCAAGAAGGTTATATTTCAAAGTACGAACATCAATCTAGTTATGATGGTGCAAGAAAATGTATCAAAGCTTAGAGACAAATGAATTGGGATAGGTTTGGACCACAGATCAACGAAGGAAAAAAATAAAGTTTGGGACAAGAAAATCAATAAAAGACACTCCCTAATGGTGTACCCCAAGGATGCCATAACTTGGAATCAATATTTTTTTTTATTCCGAACCAAGTTACATCGAAATCAAGGATGCCATAATTCGAATGCACTGGAGTTCTCTTGAGACGAACTCGAGCTCGTGTGCTCAAACGAAGAAAAAAAAAAAACACATGATCTTCACTTAGGAGAAAGGAATAAGAGAGAATGATGCATGATTTACGTGTGCATCATGCAGCATATGTACGCCCATCATAGATGCGTGGGCGCCCCGAAGTTGACATACATACACTAATGGCCATCATCATCCATGGAGTTATAATTCATCAGACAATGACTGGTTATATGCTTAAATGGTCGTGCTTTTCTTCTTTTCTTTTGTGTTCGTCATTCATCCAAATTCATGTGTGATGTTTTATAATTTAAAATTTTCAAGTCGGACGAATAATGCATATTTAAATTAATATATTTTTGAGAAATATATCGATTATTTTTTATTCTTTCTTTTGGATCATCCACTAATTCATTCACATTTTGAACCGAAAGCTTTCAAGATACACCTACTTACAAGCGGTTATATTTATTCTAAAGACTTTCAATCATTTGACAATGAAGACTCAAATATCGGCAATTTTGCTCCCATGGAGCTCTGAAAATAAAGAATGGCTAAAATGGGGAAGGAGAAAAATTATTTTCCCAAATAATGTATTTTGAATAGTGCCATTCACTGTTGCTCTCTTCTCCCTCTCTCCCTCTCTTCTCCTCCACTCCTGCAGCCTTTCTCTACCTCCTCCTCTGCTGCAGATTTATGTTTGAAGGTGAAAAGTTTGAAGGCGTGCATGGCGATCTAGCTGGACCTGCATGACGACATACTGCTTGATCGTTCTGTACGACGCATGGAGGACATGGCGACCTGCACAGGTCGCCCGGAGCAGTTGGCGACCAATTCTTTTACTGTATAAATCACCCTATCTCAACAATTAATCTTTCAACTTCATTATCTCAAGAATTTTTTATTTTGAAAGCATTATTTCGTGATTTTTACCCTCAAATATCCTACAGGCTCTAGTGTTAGAACCTGAGACCTCTAGGAATAACAATCATTCATTTAACCAATGAGACAGCTTGGTTCGTGATATAGTAACAATCATACTAATCAAATTAGAATTCAATTTACAAAATATCAAAGATTTTAAATACATGAACGAAGTTAAGATTAAATATTAAAAAATATAACTAATAAAAGATGAGAAAATAACCTCAGTGACCAAAAATCCCATATAATATACGATTTTAACCAACTTTTTCCGGATTTGCCAAAATGACCAACAAAATCGCAATGCGATCGCTAAATCGCAACGCGATCTCCATTATCGCAAATTCGCGTTGCATTTTCGCAATGCGATAGTTGAAAATCGCGTTGCGATGGTCTACAGTACCGTTGCGATTTTCCCAATTCGCAATGCGAATAAGTAAATCGCAACGCGAATTGGGAAAATCGCAATGCGAATAAGTAAATCGCAACGCGAATTGGGAAAATCGCAATGCGATACTTACTATCGCAATGCGATAATACAAAATCGCAACGAGATACTGACTTTCGCAACGCGATTCTGACTTTCGCAACGTGATTTACATAGCGCCATTCGTATTAACGCGTATTTTTTTTTCAAATTCCAAACACGAATTTTTTCTTAATAAATCGGAAAATGAACCGTCCACAGTAATCGCAACTCATAACCTCAAACCCAAAAACACAACACTCAGTCACATCTCCATCTCTCACTCTCTACGGCGAAATCCGTCCCCATCTCCGAAGATTTCCGTCCCCATCGCCGGCGAAATCCCTCACAACCATTCACAGTCAAAAATCCCTCACAATCATTCAGAAATGGAAAATCAACCTCCGAGGGTTAGTTTTTTTTTATTTTTATTTTGAAATTTTTGCATTATTTTAGGTTTTTCATATTGAGATTGATGATAAGTTTACTGGTAATTTCAATAATAGATTAACCATTTCACTTAGATTTCTTATTAAATTCATTCGATTGCTGCCAATACTGCTAAACTGTTTAGCCTGTGAAGTTAGTATTTGTCTTTGCTTTGTCTTTTGGTTGAAGTAATGCAGAAGAAGAATAGTTTCGAGAATGAAAATCGCAACGCGGAAATAACTATCGCAACGCGAAATAAAAATCGCAACGCGAAACCAAAATCGCATTGCGATTTTCATTTCGCGTTGCGATTTTCATTTCGCGGTTGCGATTTTCATTTCGCGTTGCGATTGTCTGGTCGCGATAGTCATTTCGCGTTGCGATTCTCTCGTTGCGATAGTCATTTCCGTGTTGCGATTCTCATTATCTCGTTGCGATTTTCATTTCAACCAAAGACAAAAACAGTGTTGCAAATTTTAGTTTCAAGAATAAACTACTATTTATGTTTATTGTTTTGTTTTGGTATATCTTGACAGTGTAATTTTTGGTATATCTAACTTGGTATGTTTATTGTTTTTTTGTAGAAATTTTTTTCGGCTTCATTGACATTAAGGAATAAAGTTAGCCTAGCCACTACAATTGCTTCGAAGCTTTCAACTGCACAAAGAAAATTGTTTGAAGAAACCTGCTTCGGGCCATGGCTGAGAGTACAACATCCGGGTGGAGATGCTAGTTTGACCCATTTGTGGCTTCAGACCATGACTAGCGATCTACCCGACAGTATACAACGTGGTGAGGAAGAGATATGGTTTCATTTTCCATCGGCGTATACTTGTTTGGGCGGAAGGAGTTCTGCTTAATCACTGGTCTACGATTCGGACACGATGATGTAGGCCGGTACACTCGTCATATCACCCGCCCATCATGGTTATCCAGGGTTTTTCCTGATGAGTCAATAGAGAAGCCGAACTTACACGTCGACGACATGAAGAAATTGTTTAATAAGAAAGATGGTTTTACTCGGATGAATGACGTCGATGTTGTCCGAGTATGCCTTCTACTACTTTTGTATGCCGGCTTTTTAGGCAGAGAGGCCAGACAACCTATTCCTCAGGAGCTAATATTATTGGTAGAGGACCTAAATGCATGGAATCTGTTTCCGTGGGGTTCGTATATATGGAAAGCTACCTGGACTAAGTTGTCGTCTGCCTTTGATGACCGCAAAAGTTTGCGGGGCGATGGGTCGAAATACACTTTGTCAGGCTTTGTTTGGGCCTTTAAGGTAAGAATTTCTATATAATGTTTTCAAAATTATAATTAATTATTTAACAATTACTAATGTTTGTTATTATATTATTTGTAGATTTGGATATTCGAGGCTTTCCCCAGCATGCGGACATATGCATTAAAATCCTCAGATGATATTCCTAGGGCTATTTCCTGGAAGAGGAAACGTATGTTGGATTGGGAAGACTTAATACCATATGCGACAATAAATAATGTAAGTTAACACAAATACTATCATATATAAACAAGTTATTAATAGTAGACGTTTAACTTTGTTTTAGTTTTTATATTTTTAGGAGGCCAACACTCCATTAATGAGACTGACGCCCACGGAGGCTGAGCTTGCCACTGATTGGTGGCAAGCTAGTCAGCGTTTTTTTGATGGCACGAATGATGAGCAGCCTCCACTTCCTCCACTTCGAGAGCCATCACCTCACCTAGAGCCATCACCTGATCGACCCGACTATACACCTCTACAACGAGAGCCATCACCTATCTCGTCACATCATCGAGTCTCTTCTCCACCATCACCTCATGATAGGCGACCGACAAAGATGCCACGACTTCTATCTCCTTGTTCTCCACCTCCACGGGATGAGTCAAGGGAGTTACGTGATGAGGTCAATGCCTTGCGTGAGGAGATCGGTACTCTACGCGATAACGATGGTGCATGGCGTGTGGAGGTG